ATGCATCAATCACACCTCATACTGGTCTTAATTCATCACTGTTTCCACAATGACAACTAACCAGAGAGTTTAGAATAGTGATATCACGTTTAAAAGATCATATTCGGGTTTGGCTTGTTTTTCGATTCATATTTTCAGTTTATTTCCTGTTGTATTGTATTCATGCATCGGAACACATCTTATATTCAGTACTTCACCACAAAAATTCACAGAGAATATACAACTAATAACTCATCTTAATCCTACAAAAAATGGAATAGAAATTCAATCTCAAGTAGTTTCAATTAATCGCAAACATATTATTATCAAATCAATTTCATTTTAACAACTCATATTTAAATTAATTAACTTAATCTACTTTATATTGGACCTTCTTTAAAAGTCCATTAGGCAGGTCTTACGTGTTGGAATTGGACTATTAAAAGCCAACTATATAATAAAATCCCACTAATCCATGAGACCAGTTTTGGTCTTGAACAAGTCATTAAATATATATCGAATTAAAACCCAAAAATCTTTGTAACCTTATTGAATGACATCAAATTGGACCATTGAACCTTTCAAACACAACACTCAGTTAAGAAATACTCAGATGACAATAAATGTGTTCAACAGAAACTAGTCATCTCAGAGCTCACTCCCTGCAATTTTCTTATAAGTGTACCATTTTGAGATGAAGAGGTATACCAACAGGTTGAGGAGACTTAAAACGGCCAACAACCAGAAGAAGTAATCAATATGACCTCTGTTCAAGTTATCATGTGGGATCCAACCAAGCCTTCCTCTTGATGTGGTCATCGACATCACCATTATAACCAATAGCGTGCTCAAGAAACTCCCTAAAGACACAGTTGTTAGCAATAACGCCGAACATAGACTCCTCATGGATCCGAAGCCTCGTTACAAAAAAGTATTGAGGGACTTGCCAGAAAACACTCATCGCCACAGTTTTTTGGTCGTAGAGGTTGTGTTCTCTCACATACTTTAAGCGTATGACTTCGAGGATGTCCGCTGAGATCATGGAGATTATGGAGGTGACCATGTCGATGCCCATGCGTTGGAGTTGGGTGAACCCACGTTCGTGTCTAGTGAATTTGCACACAAAAGGGATGATGACTTGATAGATAGGTGCCAAGAAGACGTCGGTGAGGGTGTCGAAGAGGGAGAGTGAGGCTGAGGGGACGGTGAAGCGAGCTCCCATGTGGCAGACCATAGTGTTTCCTTGAAGGACGAACAATATGCCAGTTTGGTTGTAATTACCGCAAAGATTATACCAGAGGCCAAAACAGGTAGGAGGTGTATCAATGCTTTGAGCTCATTGACTTGTGTGACCATACATAGACTCCAGTGACTATACATAGACTCCAGAGACTTCGATTGTCGCTCTCATTATACACCGCTACCTTGTCAATAAACCTGCAAAGCGTTTGAAATAAGTAACTTGTTCTTGTAGTTCTTATCATACACAAAATGATTACAAAAAAATTTATGTTGAACTTTTCATAACATGTATTTAAAGGTACGTAAGTTTGTCAGTATGTTCAAGTTTTCGGCTTCCTTTGATAATGCTCTTTGAATCTTCAATCTCGTGAAGAAGAGATTTACCCTGAGGGACTTTGACATTTGATCTTTTTAATGACGCAACTATGACTTGGAGGATCCTCATGATAGGACTACCTCCAGGACTCTGAATTCTATAACACTTACGACCTGCAAAGAAAAATATGGTCGAGATAGCTATTGCAATGGTACGGACTTCGAACCCCCAACCCCAACTGATGTTCATCTGGATCCAAACAAGAAAAGATGAGGAAATCGCAGAGGCAATGCTTGTCAAGAAATAAAACCAGTTGAAGAAAAATTCCTTTCTTTTCTTTCCAGTCTCATTTGACTCATCAAATTGCTCTGCACCAAACGCAGAAACACAAGGTATGATGCCTCCAGTCCCGAGTGCAATCATATAGAAGGGCAATGAAGAAGAAAGTAGTTTGTCCTATAGTCGGGTTGCACACATCCCCTTTGCACAGAGGTTTGAGACTTGTGACAAAAGTTGGTAATGTCAAGAGCATCATTCCCTATACATGCATGAGAAAAAACCATATCATATACAAGTTTAGAAAAAACTTGTCACTAATTGTACAAAAAAACTTACAAAGGCTTATCACAAAGATTGAAATTGTCTGGTATCTACCCAAATAGGCATCCGCAAGAAAGGCACCAAGCAAGGGGGTGACGAAATATACTCCACACCAGTTCATGACATTGTTGGAAGCGGCAACATTGCCCTAATTGAGTTGCTTCTCAAGGTAATTCACAAGATTATTACTCATTGCAATGTAAGCCAGCCTCTCACACCACTCGTTTCCTATCCCAGATTACAAAACCTTACATTGTTGGGGATTTGAAATTTATTAGGAAGACAACTCAAAGGGAATTTAGAAATACCAAGAATGAACCTGTACCCCTTCCAGTTTTCGGTTTCCTTTTTTATTAGCAGGTCTTTTCCGAATGTCAATTGTTCCATATTGCGTATATTCTGTCATTGTTGGTTTAATGAAATTTCTCTCACTTAGATTTGAGTTCAAAGAGTTATCACAAAGAAAGCATATAGGGTTGTGTCATACATATTCAACATTTTGTGAGTATTTCGCATATTTAGAAGACCCTGTTTTAAGAATATTTGAAACAATGATTTACTAGATTTAGGAGACCCTGTTTTAAGAAATTAACAACACAATTTTTGTATCTTTTTTAATATTTATCATAGTATTGTGAGACCAAATTAAGATATTTAATATGAAAAAGATTGTTCTCCATAATTGGATAATAAAAAAGAGAAAATTATACAATAGTGGTAGATACTAATTAAATAAATTTTGATTTATATTTCTTTTCAAGAAACATTTGTAAAGATTGTTTTCCATAATTAAACAATAAAAAGAGAAAAAATATACAACAACGGTAAGGGATACTTTGTTTTCAAAATAAGAAATATTTTTTTTAAAAAATCAATGACAAATAGAACCAAACAGTTTCAAAACATCAGAAACTTGTCCTATAATTTTACATTTTAACATAATTAACCCTCTCAGTCTCAATTTATCCATTTCCTTTTGTAGGATTCTCACGTATTAAGGGATTGTCTCTCTCCATATCTTAACTTATTCAGGGTTCACATCCACCAAGTTGAGAACTGTATCATTGCCAGAAACTAGTTCTACACATCATCATTTTTCAATTAGGGTTCTTACAACTATCACAAGCATCATATACACATCATATAATTTTACATTTTAACATAATGCTAATATTCAAGTATATAATAGAGAAGTGGTGGCAAAAAAAAATCAGTCCCAAGTAATTTCAATTAAACAAACATATTACCGTCATCAGTTTTCATTTTAATTTTATGCAAGACGGTTGAGCCTTATGCATCGGCCTAGACTATATAAAAAAGTCCATGCTAAACTATACGTGCTCCTTTAGCACGTTAAATGTACGCGTCAAAGACAAACTCGCACCGGAAGCCGTCTGGTGGAAATCTACGTCCTCGAAATACAAAATAAAAAAAGTATGCTTTATTTCGAAATTACATGAAAATTCTCAGATTCTTTTTCAAAAAATGTAACAAAAAAAATCTAATTAAAAATCTGACACATTTATGCTACTTTTTCTTAACGAAAAAAAACCAAATATGCAATACGTTAAAAATTTTGTTTTACAGAGTCACAATAAAATTTTTCGTTACGTATTTTTATTTCAGACACACACATTAGAACACATGCAACACAACAAAATGATTGCAGAAAAAGAAACTGCAATACGTGCCACAGACTTCAGTACTGCTTCTTATAGACAAATCAATGGTTAATAAACCACCAAAAACTGTCACAAAAAAACTTGATTCAATAACTTCTTTCCGTAAATTCAGACATAACTGATATCTTGAGCCTTTAGTTCGTCTGATTTCACAAGTTTTGAGCCAACACCAACAAACTCTTTTTTGACTCACATGCTCACCCATAACACGAAACCAAATGTGATGTTAAAAGGAGTTTGTGAAAGTTCATAGAAATCTGTAACTTTTTTTTTTTTGGTGTTGGTCAAAGTACAAGTTCAAGTGATTTAAGCGTGGAAAGCTTGAATTTGTATTGCGAAGACACCATAATCCGTTTATGAAATTAATGAGTTGATAAGTCAGTGAACACTACGAACGAATTCACTCTATTTGAGAAGTCAAAGGTTCAAAAAAGAAATTTTCAAACTCACTAAACTCGCATCTATTTCATAATATGCATGTTTCATATTTATAGGTTATAAATGGTTAGAAATGAAATAAAAAAAGGTGCAAAATTTGAAATTATTAAAAGCAAATTTCGAAACAATAAATGTAGATCATTTATCTTTGAATCTGACCAAATGATCATATTCTTCACTTCTAAACTTCATTTGGATTTGATCCAAGAATGTTATGAACTCTTGGATTTGACGAGAACTTGATCCAACAAGAATCATGTCATTTTTTTAATCTAATTTATTAAATTAAGCTTATTATATACATGATCTTGAAATTATTATTGTGTATCCCGTGAATCTCTGTCTAGTTTGAGAATCTTCAAACAGTGAAGCGATCCGAGTCTCCAATCAAAAGTTAATGATAAAACAAGACGACATTTGTTCAATATATATTTGTAGGATTGAACCCTAAATCGTGTCTTCCCCAGAATTGATGTTTTCTAATTTGGACATCAATTTATCCATATCACAACTATGGTTAGTTAGAAATCATTTCTAATTGGAATCACGTCGTTTGGACTTCGTAGCACAAAGTTATAACTAAATTCCCCTATAATTCAAATGCATATAAAATCGAAAATTTATGGCAATGTACAATCTAAACTTCTTCTTTGCACGCTTTGAAGTTCTTGATGGACCCCATATTGCTACTCTAACCATTTGTGTAGATAACGACAGAACTGCTATTACGTATTTGAAGGATCAACCAAAAAAGCCTGTGAAAACTTTACACAACAAATGCCGTAATTTGTGCCGCACGTAGTAGTAGCCAACCTAGAGACATTATTCTCTTTCTTTTTCTTCGAACTTTTCTTCAGCTAGAAGGATTTGCTAAAACGATCTCACTGATATTTACATGAAAAATAAAATTCACAACGGTCTCTTACCCGATGTTCCGGGAAAGCATGGATGATATCAGATTTGCATCACCGAACTTCATGATCAAGTCGAGATATTGCATTGCCTCAATGGGAAGCATGCCCTCGAGCAAGAAGTCGAGCAAATGGGAATGAGTCCCTCTCATCACTTCGAAACTTTCGTTCAGTAATTTCTTCTGCTGTTCTTTGCTTAGCTCCGCCGCCTCCACCAACGGCAACAGATCCTTCTCTTCCTCCACAAAATGCCCTTTACATCTCTCCTGTTCAAACGCCAACCAGCAGTGTTTTACATGCTAACTCCAGTATGGAGAGACATCGATCACTGTTAGCATAATTTACCTGTAACGCATTGAGACGGGAGACGAGACTGAAGAGAGCCTCTGAACAGACAGAGGTTCCGGAGTCCAAGACTCCGATGGATTTGATGTCTTCTTTGATGCCATTCATGATCGGCAGTTCTCTCCCATGTTCCTCGTTCGCAGATTTGCATACCCCTGCATCGTTAATATTCACAACCCGTTGATCAAGACAACACAACAGTCGCACAAGACAAGACCATATCCACATCGCCTTTCGCAAATTCTCCACTTCGAATCAACTAAATGAATCGGATATGTCCATTGTCATGCAAACAACTCTCATTACCACCCATCAAACCAGCCTTGCGTTGGATTATATTGAACACAGATCCTCAATTTGTCAGCAGAGCTACACTCTGTCGCAATGAGCAAATCACGAGTGTCCAAAAAGCAAACAACATAAGCATTACACTAAGAGGCAAGAGCCATTCTGTGTTTCATGCATTCTCCATCTCCAATTCCATAATTCAACATCAACATCGCTTCCCAATTCCACAATTAGTAAAAATTATTTCCACGTTCACATGAATAATACTCATGGCCTATATCCAAAACCCGTCACTAATCAGAAAGAGACGCAGGGTTGTGTCATTTCTCGATGAAGAAAGATCATCAATTTCACATCAAATCAGCACTGTTTTCACCTAGCAATCAATCCAAACATAACAATGATCATGCGAATCAAAATCTATATGAATCAACAACATTTGACTTGTTGAGACTAAGCACAAACTTGTCAAAATCATGTGGAAAAAGTTTTACCTCGATCGACCGCTTCAAGAACAGGGAAGATGATTCTCTCCTCCATTTGAGCATGCTCAAGCATCAGCTCCTGAAGTTGAGAATAGTTTTTTCCGAACTTCCTCATCTCCATCCTCGGCGTCCCCGCCGACGGATCCGCCGCCTTTCTCCCTCCACGCGCCGCCAGATCCTCCGCCCACCTCGCCATCCTCTCCACGTGCCACACCATGCTCTTGTGCTGCAACCAAGTAACCCTCGCTATCAATGGCGTCGAATCGTCGAATCCCTCCAAATTGAACTTCCCCATCATTAATCTCGGCTCCGGGAACTTCTTCTCGATGAAACCAACCAGGATCTCCTTGGATCCCGACACCGTGTCCGATCCTAATTGGATCGTCGGCTTCTGATCTTCTGAGGGAACGAATCTAAGAGGAACCCTCTTGTGGAGAAGCGCGAAACGGACATAAGATGTGACAAGACTGTTTGGTGGTCCAGATAATCTGACGGTGGCAGTTCCGGTGGCTCTGTCTGAGGCCGTGGCGACAACGGGGGCGCCGAGGCGTTGGGGGGCGGAGACCCGAGCAGGTACGCCGGCGGTGGCAGCGGCGTAAGCGGAGCCGGAAATAGTGGGTTTGACACAGTCGAAGGGAGCAATTTCAGATGTGGATTTAGTGGAGCTGGAGAGGCAATTACCCATCTTTCCTGCGATTTTGGAGAGGACAAACAGAATCGAGAGAGCGAAATGGTATCTTAAAACGGAAATGGGGAGAGAGAGAGAGAGATGAGGAGAGGGACAATAAGAGTGAGGTGCAAGAAATGGGGGAAGGGATCAAAAAGAGCGCAGATCGAAGAAATAAAAGGATCAAGCGAATCTTCAAACAGTGAAGCGATCCGAGTCTCCAATCAAAAGTTAATGATAAAACAAGACGACATTTGTTCAATATATATTTGTAGGATTGAACCCTAAATCGTGTCTTCCCCAGAATTGATGTTTTCTAATTTGGACATCAATTTATCCATATCACAACTATGGTTAGTTAGAAATCATTTCTAATTGGAATATATATTTTTGAACAAAATTAATATGATTAGATTTGGATAAGTATTATAACATAAATTCTATTCAGTCGAATATAATATAGAAATGGATTATAAATAATTTTACTTAAATAAAATAAATATGTTTTAAAAATAAATATTTTACAAAAATCACTGGATTTACATTTTTTAATAATACTTTTTTATAAAAAAAATTCTTGAATAAATATCTTAACTTTTCAAAATATGTCAACCTTAACATTTAATTTGATAATATAATACATCAAATATTAAAATACTTCAACTTCGTAAATTAAAGAAAATTTCTAATCAAACCCATTATATATTCATTCAAACATCTAAATCATTTGGGTTTTGATTGAAAATTGACCTCAATTTTAGGAGTTGAAAGATTAATTGGATACAATTTTTAGAGTTAGATATATTAATTTGATACATTTTGACATTTGAGTTATTATTTTATAAAATAAAAAGTTAAGGTACTTATTTGATATATTTTTAAAAATTGAGGAATTTATATGAGATTTTTTTATTTTTTACTAAAATTTCTTTTACTATTCAAAGATTCTTTGTGTATGAATAATTTTATCTAAGTAAAAAATAATGGCGTAGTAAATATTATATCTCCATCACTAAATTTCCTCCCCTATTTGTGTACAAATTTCTTCTTTTGTCATTTTTTATCGTTATTTACATATTTCTTGATGATGATATACATACATATATATATATATATAAAAGGAAATATAATATTTTAGCGATAAAATTTTGGACAGCCTTACAGAAACAAATTCCTGACATTCCTTTAAAACAAAAGTGTTTCATCCAAAACCGGAGAAAAAAGAATCCAAAACTATTTTTCCGTTCATGTCTATATATACATATTTAAATGGAAATTTATAGATAATGTTGTTTTCCATTTGGGAATCGTCTTCGACTCTTCGTGTCATAGTGGAAGGTGCGCTCCTTGACCGTTGGAATCCATTCAAAGTCAACTAATTTGTTTTTTACCGTTGTGTTTTTTTACATGTTTTTTCTGTCTGTTTCTTACATGTTTTATTTATTTAAGAGAGAAATGATATAAACCCACGTGAATTTATTCAAATATATAAGACTAATACACAAATTTTTAATTTGATAATAAATCACCCTAAATTTTAAAATTTTCCAATTATCCATTCAAAATGACAAACTAAATTACAATTTCCCACGCAAAGGGGATTTTCAATGTCAACATAACATCGGTACACTGAAGGGAGGAGTGAAATCAGGGTAGGAGAACAAGGACTTATTTGGGTCCATCAGGTGGGATAGCTCGGTGAAAATTAAAGAAGTTGTCGAGGGCAAACTCGACATTTCACGTTTCACGGTGGCCAGTTACACCATCGACGGTAGCGGTAAGAATTCCAATTAAATCGTAATCGAGATTAATTTTAAACCAAAAAAATTGAACCGAATCGATGATGTGTCTGCTGACGTGTCATAAATGTTCCTCTTTTTTATTACGTGGAAAACCACGTCGGCATATTTATACAATGTTGGCATCGAAAATCCCCTTTTATATAGGGAATTGTAATTAATTTTATCCTTTTGCTAGTGTAATTGGGAAAATTTTAAATCTAATGTGATTTATTGTCAAATTCAAAATCTGATCTTACAAATTTGAATAAATTGGTGTGGATTTATTTCATTTTTCCTTTATTTTATTCTACTTTTTTATTTCTCTTCGGCGTTAAGAAAACTTATGAAACAAAATAGTCAAATTATATCTTTTGTTAGATTTTCTTTAAAGATTAAGTGATTGGTTGGGTTACATCAAATCTCTATTTTGGGGATGCGATTAAATCCCAACCCAATATACATAAAACAAAAATGCTTATGAATACTGAGGCATAGGGGTGTGCATAATATCCGGAAAAACCGATCCAATCCGTTATTCGATCCGTATCCGAACCGAAAATTCGGATATTCGGAGTTCACGGATCGGATACGGATATTGGTTTCAAAATATTTGTCGGATACGGATCGGATACGGATATCAAAATAAAATTATCCGAAATATCTGATCCGATCCGTACCTTTTAGTAATGTTAATAATATATGGCTAATTTTGTAATTAGTTTATATATAAGGGGTAATTGTGTAAAACATAAAAAACATGTTAGGGTTTTCCCTCTTCGTAAGTATGCGCCTTCCTCTCCCTTCTCCCTCTATCTATCATCGATCTTTGCCGACTCTCTCTCTTTCTCTCCGTCTCTCCTAAATTTTCTGACAAAATCTTTAATCATCGTCTTCGATTTCTTCTATTATTGGCAGGGTTTTCTTGGACAAGTTATTGACATTCCGAATCCCAACGGTGAGGGCAGAGCGTCGTTTCTCTCGCGTTTTCCATGGATGTCCTTTAGTGACCTGAATTTGGTTGAAGCTTATGTTTTGTGGTCAATTGTTGGGTGATGGGTTTGTAAAAAACATGTCTGAAAAACATACCATGTCCAACGAGATCAATATCACGGTGAGAAACTGTATTTTTTAATAGGTCAATGTTCATATATCATTTGCAGATTTGAAGTTGCAGATCAATGAATGATTCATCTATCAAACCAAAAATCAATTTATGAGTCGTCTTCTATGTGTTATACCCAACAATTCTAAGAATAGCATTATCCAATGTGTGTATCATCAAATGAATAAAGAAATTATTTTTTTATTTTTGGTCGAATACGGATATTTGTAAATATCCGGTGTTTTTTCGGATATCCGGACTTGCGGATATTCGAAAATTACGGATCGGATACGAATAACAAAATTTGATATTTGTACGGATCGGATACGGATACAAATATCTAAAAAAGTCCGGATATCCGATCCGTGCCCACCCCTACTGAGGCATATATATTATACTACTAATCAATCTCTAATTTATAATTAAATTAATTTATTATACATGTTATGATGATTTCTTGTATCCGTTTAAAATGTCAGGTTTCAATATAGAATATAATATGAACAGTTGATATATTTTTAAAAATTTTAAAGTTTCTGTCTTTACTTAGAATTTTTTTAACAAATTCGCATAATAACTTTTTATTTTATTCATTGCGATGGAGGATTAATTTATAAACAAATGTTCCATACATATAAATAGAGTCTTGGCATTGGCTTCTTTCATGAGACTTATACAAAAATATCTTCCATTACTAATTTAAATTTATTTACTACCTTTTCTAAACCCTAATTTTCTAAAAAAAAACTGCAAAATGATATTTTTATCTCTCACTAGAATCTAGATTTTTATCCCTCATTAATATACATTATTCTGCAAAATAATATTTTTACCTTCCGTTTTTATCGACATTTAATATTTGTACTCCTCATTTATTCTCTCTGTACAATGAAAATTTTAAAAAAATATAGGGAAAATGAAAGAAAACCCCTCCTTTTATCAAGGAATTTCAAAAGACGGTTTATAACTTTCAAATTTCGCATTTTTTTAGGAGAGGAGTGAGAAAAAAGTAAACTCGAAGGAGAATAAAAAAAAATAGAAGATTTCAAAGGAGATTTGAAACTGTTTTATTTTTTTCAACACACTCATCAGTGACGTTAAGCATCGAAAGAGAGGGAGAGATCAACGAAAATCGAACGATGGAAATGTAAGTTTAAAGTAATAGAATACTGAGCCATATGGGTTTCATAGCGAGTTATGTGTCATATAGATGGTTTTCGATCATTTGGATAATATGGTCATATGGATCATTTCTATAAGTCCTATAAAGTCATTTTGAGCCATATGTCAAAAGTGAGTTGCATGGTGTCGGGGTTTTACGTTACTTTGATCGTTTGTTGTGAATCAGTAACACAAACCCCTTACTTGTGTAAACCTGCGAGGATGATAATATCTAGTGCAACGATATCGAAATAAAAAGAGACAACAATTTTAACGTGGAAAACCCTCTCGGTGTGAGGAGTAAAAACCACAGGACCACTATAACTTTATTACAATGTTCACACAGCAACACACTAAGATTACAGAATATTAACTCCAATATTCTAATATCAATAACCCGAGAGAACACTACCCACAAGTCGTAACCAAACTGCAAATCAACCCTGTGACTTCTGATTCCGGCAATAACTCATCCGTATAAATCAAAGACGAAAGGGTCAGGAATAAGTATACCGATTTGCAGCTCAACTAGAGACGAAAAACACCGTCAAATATCCCGACGATCAGAACTGTGCTGATTCGGACTGTAGAGAACAACTTCTGAAAATCCTCCGTCGGAGTGTAGAAACTCTTCTCACAATTTTAGATCGATCAGAATATTTTCTGATCGAATCTCTCCCCGAATACCCACACAATTTGTTTCACTTTTTTTTTTCACTCTCCTTTTTTTCCTTCTGCTTCTTGCTCTCTCTCGCTCTGTGTTGTGTGCTTCTCCCCCTCTATCAAGCCTCCGTTTTATAGGCAAAACATGCCTAACAAAACAAAAGACATGTGGGGCCTAAGGAGGAAATTTTCATCGCCGCCTTGCGGCTGCCTTGGCTTCGTTAGGCGGACAATTCAACAATCTCCCCCTTCCGACTATGAAGTCAGAATCTGTCATTCCAACAATCTTGCGACACACTTCAAGCTTCCCTCTAAGAAGCACCTTTGACATCATATCAGCACCATTGTCATCAGTGTGAACCTTCTCGAGCTCAACCTCCTTCGAATCAAAGATATCTCGAATCCAATGATGCCTCACATCAATATGCTTTGATCTTGAATGAAACGTCTGA